CTCTAACACTGAGCTCAAAGATATATGTGAATATTGTTTGAGTTTCACCCTAGTGATATGAAAAACACTAGTGAAAAACATATTCCACGACTACTGCATATCACCGCGAATATCGCGTTTTTCACGAGTTTTACGCCACTTCACGTAAACGTGTGAAACTCCATTGTTTTAGTTCGATACCATCTTTTTTGATCGGACCCGTTTCGTATCTTTCACTGGAGTTACGGAAGATCCTTTCCCTTATGAGAAGAGGAAATATTTTTCATTATTTCCAGGGGAATTTCCACTGAAAATTATCAAAAAATATTTCCTCATTATTACGGAAAATTTTAAACTTCAATTATTTCCTCAATTTTCCGCCTTAAAATGGTTGAAAAAATTTTTTCCGCGTGCGTAAAATTGTGTGTTTTTTTATTTTCAGTTTATGGAGTTGTTCGATAATACTCTGGCGTCAACTTTTTCGAATCCTTGGGTATTTTTGAAACGTGGATCTTCGGGTTTGGAGAATCTCGAAAATGATGATAGAGCGGATGATGACGATAGTAGTTTGAGAAGCAGCAAACAGAATGATAGCGATTCGACTGACGATGGGTTTGATGATATGCAGTTGCCAACTTTCGAGGATACTAAGAAGAGAATTCCTATGGAAATCGAGGTAGCTTTGGAGAATTCATATAGCGGGGTTTTGAAGTATTAATATGATGATGAAAAATTTATATGAAAGTTCTAAGTGGGGTTTCACCCTAGTGATATAAAACAGTGGTGAAAAACATATTTTACGACTACTGCAGATCACCGCGAATTTCGCGTTTTTCACCGAGTATTACGCCACTTCACGTAAAACGGGTCGTGAAACTCCAATATATCTATATCTTGATGCCATATATTATACCATATTTTGTTATATTGGAGTTTCACCCGTTTTACGTGAAGTGGCGTAAAACTCCGTGAAAATGCGATATTCGCGCCTTGTGATAGTCGTGGAATGTGTTTTTCGCTAGTGACAGTAGCCTAGTGTTTTTCATATCACTACGGTGAAACTCCATTATACAAATGTCATTTTTCGGGAAATTATCGTGAACGATGTTGAGATATTTACGTTGGAAAATATGTTTCTTGTTTGCATATAGTCGCATTTTCTATGGATGGATTGGTTGTAGTTTTCGGTGGAATTTTTCCTCTTTGGGAATCTTGGTGCGCATGCGTGCTGATGATGATGAAGTTGTGTTTCTCGTTTAGTCGCGTAGTGGCATTGAAACAACATTGTCTCATTGGTTGGGAAGGATTCCGATGGAGCCACAGCAAATCGATGAGGCTGTGGAGAAAGTGCAGATGCTGGTGTTGAAGACCTTCTCGTTCATAAGATCGCAAATATCTGATCAAATTGAGCTGGTAAGATGAGAAAATTTTTTTGGCGAAATTTTTTGGCAGTTTTTTTGTCTAGGGAGTTTGTGAGATAAGCTTTTGGGAAAATTCTGAGGAAATGGGGGGAAATTTGGAAATGTTCTGCTGTTTGTATTGGAGTTTCACCGAAGATATGAAAAACACAAATGAAAAATATATTTCACGACTACTGCATATCGCGAATATCGCGTTTTCCACAGAGAATTACAATTTACAAATAAAACTCCAGTTTTTTTCAGTTTGCTGAGTCCTTCTTCAAATTGCCGATGATGCGCAGACTGGAAGACGATATGAGTAACATACAGATGACAAATGTTGACACGGAAACCTACAGAGTGGGAAATCTCGGGCGAGGCGAGCGAAATAATTTTTTGTTTTTTTCTTGTCAAGGTTCGACGTGAATATCTTGAGGGCGAATTTAAAACGATCGAGAAGACCCTTGCGTCGTTGAATGAGTGTATTGATAAACTGCAAGGATTTGCTTTGAAGGCTCAAGCGAAGATGAGTAGAGTGGCTGGAAGCAAATAGATACACAGGGGTGGCAGCGTTGTGAAAAATGTATAGATGCAACGCTTCGCTCCGCCACTGGATAGGGTTCTCCTTAACGAGGTTTATCGGCGACTGATGGTCGCTGGAAAACATCGCATTTCGAAGGTTTCTGTCAAATTGCTTCAGCGAAGCGATGTTGGGTTAAGTTGACGTTAAAGTGTGGGGGGGGGTATCTTGAGGTTGAGCGGATAAGATACGGAGTAGGTTCTCCTGAGTGCCATGATGTGTGAGTCGATACTTGAAAGGTTGACGGGTCGAAGATTAAGATATACGGGACAGTGAATGTGTTGTACTTCACTTTCTTTGAGGACTATCAAGGAGTAATTTAGTTGAGCTCTGCCGCCGAATACGAAATCGTTATTCCCGAGGGGTTGTTATATTGCCATTATTACTTTCTTTGCATTGTTGTTTATTCTGTCACTGAACTGATGATGGCTATTTCGTGTCGTGTGAGGCCTTTCTGTATGATATCTAGAAGGATGATGGTGACGACTCTTGGGGGCGAGGAGAATAGTAGAATACACACAAAGCCGGCAATAGGTGGGAGAAAAAGGTTACTTCTTTTAGCAATGATATATCAATATTAGTGGAGTTTCACCCGTTTTACGTGAAGTGGCGTAAAACTCGGTGAAAAACGCGATGCAGTAGTCTTGAAATATGTTTTTCACTAGTGTTTTTCATATCACTAGGGTGAAACTCCAGTATCTAAAATCTAATTCTATATACGATATTCATATTGGAGTTTCACCCGTTTCATGTGAAGTGGCGGAATATTCCATGAAAAACGCGATATGAAGTGAATTGAAATCTTTTGGTGCATTACATCGGACAAATCACAAGTGTTTGACGCGCTTTGCATTACTCACATGGGTTTTCCGCCAAGTGAAATGAGAAATATGTTTTTCGCTAGTGTTTGTCATATCACTAGGGTGAAACTCCAATATCTATAGTATAAAATTGTTGGCTTGTTGTTTCAGGGATAGCATTCACACTTCATGACAAACCGGGGTCTCTGGTGGAGGCGTTGAGTATCTTCAGTCGAAGGGGTATCAGTTTATCTCATGTTAGCAATAGGTGAATCTTGACGTGTTATGAAGTATGCATGCACGCATGCACATGGGAAGGTGTTCCCCTTTGGAGCCGTATAAGGCGATGTTCCATGTGCATTTTCGTGGCGCGTGGGAATCGGCGAAGACACGTGAGGTTTTGGAAGAATTGCGTCCCCTCACATTGGATGGACAACTGTAAGGATATGCAAGAAATATGAGTATTGATGGATATATGATCAGGTTCAAGATAGCAGCTCCAGATGTGCCTTGGTTTCCGAGGCATATCAGCGATTTGGACCAATTTTCGAAGTAAGTGGAATTTACGGAAACTCCCACGAATTTGTGGAATTTCGGTAATTTTCATTTATTCCTATCAGAAGCACTCTCGATGCTGGGGATCAACTCGAATCGGACCACCCAGGATTCACCGATCCAGAATATCGCGCTAGGTGGGAAGCATCACTTCGCTGTTGTTAATAGTTCGTTCTTGTTAGTTTGTTGTTGATAGTTTATTGTTGTTGTTGTTGTTACTGTTATTGTTACTGTCATTGTTATTGTTGTTGTTACTGTCATTGTTATTGTTATTGTTATTGTTATTGTTGTTGTTACTGTTATTGTTATTGTTGTTATTGTTGTTATTGTTATTGTTATTGTTATTGTTATTGTTGTTGTTACTGTTATTGTTATTGTTGTTATTGTTGTTATTGTTATTGTTATTGTTATTGTTGTTGTTAATAGTTTGTTGTTGTTTATTGTTGTTAATAGCTTGTTGTTAATAGCTGAATAGATTCTCATTTATTGGAGTTTGAACCCGTTTTACGTGAAGTGGCGCGATACACTGTGAAAACCCAATATTCGGTGGTATGCAGTAGTCGTGAAATATATTTTTCAACGTGTTTTTCATATAACACGTGGAACTCCATTATCAGTATTTGATAATATCAACCACATATACAACTTTGTATATACGTAGAACATCATATTGTACATGAATGTTTGCAAGAAAACAATAACAGCATTTCATGATGTATTTATTTTATTGTTACAACCTCCATCTTAAAGCCATTTAGTTTCTAATAGGGTTTTGGTCTAGTCTGGAGAGATAGATGGAACCAGTCGAATTAATGCCATACGAAATGCGCACGCGTGCGCATTTTGTATTTCGCCGCCTTTGTGGTATCGAAGAAGACCTTATTTGGTGCTCTTATCTGGTTTGCTACCCTAGGCGTGAAGAGATAGCAAAAGTGGCGTCAAAGTACAGAGGGGCGGATGGTCCTGTACCACAGATTGAATACACAGAGAAAGAGGTATCAGCGACTCTACTCAGTGTTAGTTGTCGTTTTCTAAGCTTGTGCGAATTTGCACTGGAAGAATTTTGGGGGGTTTAGTCGTAGTTTGTTGATTTTTTATTTACTCAGTCGCAAGTCGTGTTAGGTTGCGACCTGGGGTTACGTTTGGGACGAGCTTACTAAACTCTATCCTAGGCATGCCTGCAAGGAACATAATGATGCACTACAGGCTCTCACTGAAGCCGGTGAGAATACTCTGTGTGGGATGTGCGCAATTTATGGTAGGGATATATGGACCTCGAAAAATACCTCAGCTGAACGAGTTGTCGGACTTCGTGTCGGCGAGAACAGGATTCCAGTTTCGGCCGGTCACAGGGTTGCTCAGTGGTCGAGACTTCCTCAACGCTCTGGCATTTCGGGTAGGGAAATGTCATTTTGATAAAGTGATGGGAAAGATGATTATTTGTTATTGGAGTTTCACCCGTTTTAAGTGGAGTGGCGTAAAACTCAGTGAAAAACGCGATGCAGTAGTCGTGAAATATCTTTTTCACTGGTTTTTCTCATATCACTAGGGTGAAACTCCAGTATCTACAATCAAATTCTATATACGATATTCATATTGGAGTTTCACCCGTTTTACGTGGAGTGGCGTAAAACTAGGTGAGCAACGCGATGCAGTAGTCGTGAAATATATTTTTCACTAGTGTTTTTCATATCACTAGGGTGAAACTCAAATGATGCTGTTAGTTGTTGTTTCGTATTCGCTTTCATGTTGAAATTGGGCTTCGATATAATTTTCGGAGATTTTGATGTCGGAAATATTCTGATCAAGATTCCAAGAGTAATGGTCAGCATTCCTAGACGCTAGGTTAGCCGTGCTTTAGTTATCGTGTTTTTAGTATGATGAAGTTCCACCCGCTTAACGGGAAGTGGCGTAATATTCCATGTAAATGGTAGGACGTATATGTTTTCGCGACCGATATGAAGTGAATTGTGAAATTTTTTTTCCGCTAGTGTTTTTTCATATCACTGGTGAAACTTCAATACATCATTCATCGTATAAAGTGTATAATATTGTTCCATTGTGAAATTAATCGATTATATAGTAATTTTACGTTGTGGTCCTTCGAGCTGTGTTGTCCATGTGATGTAGGTATTCTTCTCGACACAATATGTAAGGCACCATTCAGTGCCAATGTACACTCCAGAGCCTGATGTTATACACGAGTAAGTACTCTGTGGCATGAGAATTCTCTCAGGTTGAACTCATGTTGGCTGTGATTTAGATTACTTGGGCATGCGCCGATGTTCCTCAATCCTGACTTCGCCGATTTCACTCAGTACATTGGTTTGGCTAGTTTGGGTAGGCTCTGTGGGAACTGAGTCGCAATGATTTGGTGACACTTCTGGGTTTGGAAGTATACGGATTTTTCCCCCCCGTTTTCACACCAAAGTGTGCGTTTTCTATGATATTCACTGAAACTTGTCTTGATCGGCAGCGAAGTCGATAGCTGTAAAGTATACAGTACGCGCTACCCAGAAACGCGCGAACTGGGCGGACACTTTTTTCCTTCATTTCGACCCAATTCTTTCACCATTGAGCTCCCTGTGCTTGATTACCCATAAATCCAAGTCGCGCACTTGAAACTCGACAAAAAAATATTTTGGTCATCTTCACCTCCTTATCTTCGAGTAGTATAACGAATCTGACGGGAGAGATCGGCGACACCAAGCCTGTTTTAGTATGGCATGGCCGTGTGATGAGCTTGCTAATAGAGGCTCCTTATTGCGAGAGCACTACAGTGAGGAAAAAGTGCATCGCTCCGCCGGGTAGCACTTTTTAAGAGTCCTTGAGCGTTGCGCTCGGATGTTCTCCGCAGCCATTGGGGCCTGGAGGGGAAAAGGAGATCTACGTGTGAGGTTAATGATCGAGCGATGGACACTAGCTGGTGTTTGTTTGATAAGAGTGGCAAGGTCATTCACTATATCGACTCGACAATCGGAGTACACCAATGTCATAAGCCTGTCGGGTCTATAAGATCCTGGAGTATTCGTATATACTATTAATGAGTCCACTCCTGGGATGAATCAATTTCATGGGCACACGACACTTTGAAATATGTGCCTATTCTGGTCTACTGTAGGTGCTAGTGATGACGTTATCAAGAAGCTTGCGGCATGCTATTGGTTCTCGGTAGAGTTTGGGTTACTCATTGATCTCAAAGGCGCTGTGAAAGTACGTGCCACAGTCAACTCGTCGGCTTCTACACGGTGCGTTACAGGCGTATGGAGCTGGAGTGCTCTCATCTTATGGCGAGCTCCTACATTCTACTTCGCCGACTAATCCTAGTATATCTATAAAACCCTGGGACCCTGAGGAAGCTGCTAATGAAGTGACGATGGGCATCAGTTGATATTAAGGAGCTTCCTTTTAGGAGTACCCGATCACTAAAATGCAACCGGTGTACTTCGCAGCGAAGAGTATGGAGGATGCCAAGATACAGATGAAAGCGTAAGTGCCATCTGGATGTGTGTCTGCTATTGGGCTTTGCTTAGTCGCGTTATGTCAGGTACTGTGATCGAGTGAGTCGGCCTTTTCACTGTGTGTACGATTCGGAGTCACAAAGCGTGTTCACTGATGTTGATGTCTATACGAGGCCAGTTGCCATGAAGTAGGTCACCACGTGTCAAGTTTGTCACCATCTTTATCATCGATGGACTCTGTTTTTTCTAAGTGTGCGGTGAAAATATGCTTATGGTTGACTACATGTGTTGGTAACAATATAAAAAAAATTTCGATGAAATCCTTTCCCTGGTTTCTGTATATTTTCACACGAGCTCTTGAGCTCAGCTGAAGGGAGCTAGCATATGTTCCTCCAACAGTGTTTCTGCTAACCCCAGCTCGTGATGTGGCAGATACAGACCTGTGGATCTCTCCTTACGAGAGTCTCTCTGATGTCGTTCGCTCCTCCGTAGCGTCAGTGACATCATCATCGGCGGAGACCTGTCATGTTATTGATACACCGTAGAGTTCATTTTTTTCTGTTCGTGCTGGGCTTGAGTGATGTAAGGAAATTTCGATTGGAGAATTTTGCGAGTTTACGAGAAGGAAAAGTTATGGGTATTGATAGTAACAGTGCAGCGAAAAATGTTCGCTTTCCTCAGCTGAGTTCAACTGAGCATAGGAGGATATACGAGAAGTGTACAGAAACAAACAAAAATTTTCCAAAATCTCCTCGAGAGTTTTGGTATTGTCATCAACACATGTGGTTGACCATGTGTATATTTTACCACACTGGATAGTAAGCGCTGATGAAAATGTATCACTCGAATCACTCAAACAGTGCCTCTTTGTTGGAGAGTGGAGATTCTATAAGTCTACGTCTGGGCGTTGCTGTAGGGTGTATTGGGAATCGAAATGACAAGAGATCAGGCCAGCGCGTTATGACAATTTTTCACCAGCATTTTCTTCTGACTGTGAGAGTCCTCGCTCTATAAGGAGTGGGCTCGGGTCGTTCAAGAGGGGTTCAATTCGATATTAGTACTTGGGAGCTCTCTTTGAGGGGAGAGCATTGTGAGGCACGTGTTTAGAAGTGTCTTGATAATTATAAAACACCGTCATCATCATCGGCAGCAGCAGCAGTCGAGGAAAGTGAGGAACGACGGTGTGATGATGAGGGCCCTGCTGAGGGGTTGGCAGAGATATGTAGCCCGGAGGAGAATCCTGTGGAGAAATAGGTGGGTAATTTCGTGGCGCGTGACGCTGGTTGTGGTATGTTGAATCCGCAGAATTGTGGTATCGGCTCGGGCAAGGTTCCGATTAAAAGAGGATATCCTGTCATTATGGTATGCTTATAGCCACAGTCAGACTATGTGTGAGCTGAGGAGAAGAAGGAAGAACTTTGCAGATGAGGTCAGTCCTGGGCAACGCTGTGATGTATGTTCCCTTTCATCAGCTCAGCTCAGCAGTTTCCTCATTAGTTATAGTAGTTATATATGCATCATGTTAGAAGTGCACAGAAGTCAGCAAGAATTTCCCAGAATCACCATAGTGTCGCCAACACATGTGGTTGACCACCAAGTGCAAATTTCACCACACTGGTACTGGGTTCCATAAAGAGATGTTGATTTTGGTCATCATCCTCTTTTATGAAGTGATATATTCGATTGGCTCGCGCCTACTAGGTGCTCACTGAGTGGTCATTGTTGTTGTATCAGATGTCTGCTAGAAGGCGATATTTGGTGGTATCGGCGACATTCTCAGCCTGGGTATCAGCAGTATATCAAAGCCGTATGAATACCCTCAGAGCTCATCGTGCCCATGCCCACCATCGAAGAACCCTTCTCGGCAGGAGTGTTGCTGCCCTACACTTGTGAGTGGCTCGCTCTCACTGTGGCTTGGGCGTATTAGGTCTTTAGTTGGAGCCAGTGTTGGAGTAGGAATATATGTTTGCTTTTCTCAGCTGAGCTCGGGAGTTTCCTCATTGATCATAAGAGGATAGAAATGTCCGAAAAGTAACCATAATTTCCTCAAAAAATCCATCTCATCACCAACACATGTGGTTGACCATGTGCATATTTCCCACACTACATAATGAGAATACCGAGGCGCAGGTACTCTACCCGGCGAAATCGCCTTCGGGGTTTGTATGAGAGCTTGAGACGACTGCATTCAAGTCGTGTTCATCAAAATTTCTACAGCTTCTGGCGTGATGCCACTCGACGTCTTGTGTGGACGAGGACCCGAGCCTTGGAACTCCATCGCAGAATTAGGTTAAAGCGCGGGCTTCGAGCATTACAGAGGAGAGTCTGTTTGGTTCGAGAGCGGGAAGAGGTCAAGCAGAAGGTGATATGTGCAAAAGCGCGCGCCCTGGTGATCGATTGGAGAGTATGGACGAGGGAAAGGCTTGATAAGCGGCTTGTAAGGGCTGTGTTGAGGCGGGCGTTTTCGGGGTGGCGAGATTACACCAAGAAGAGGAGCACGGCAGAAGACGGAGGTGTGGTATTGAAATTACGAGTGTCTTTCCAGCTCAGACGACGGGCGTGTTTAGCGTGGATGGCTGTAACTAGAAATGAGCTCTTGGCGAGACGAGCTGCTGGTGAGAGGCTAGAGAGGATGGTGTGGAGGAGATGGACGCAATGGGTGAGGCAATCTTGCATTCTTACGGCCTTCTCTACGTGGAGGAGGGCCGTCATGAATGTGCCTAGGGAAGCTGATCGGGTGAGGTTACGGAGGAGCTTCAAGGGTTGGGTATTGCGGTGTACGGACATGAGGAGGACGGCTAGGAATGGGAAGGAGTGTCGGGAGATGCACGTCGCTGTGTTGAGCTTGAGGGTGTTGTTGGTGTGGTATCGCCTGGGTCTGTTGTGGCAGGGCGCGCGGCGGTTTGCGGAGGTGTATGCGAAGAGGAGGTCGCTGAATGGTTGGAGAGAAATGAGGAAATTAGGGAAAGCGGAGCGGAGACGGCAGAGGAAAATTCATAGGAAATTTGCTGATAGAATCATCAGGGTGAATTTTTATTCATGGCATGATCTTTGTCGCGTGCGTGATTTAATGAGGCTGAAGGAGTTCCGGTTGAAACGACGTTGTATCGATCACCTGATCGATTTCGTCGTGGACAAGCAGTTTTGGCGGGCTCGTAAGAGGGAGGCTGGAAGGCGTTATGATGAGGCCTTGCTGAGTCGTAGCTTGGAAGGCTTTCAACAGTGTGTTGAGCGCCATCGGTTGGGACGCTACGAGGCGTGTCTTAGGCTCAGGCAGGGTTTGCTGAGGAAATGGTGGTTGAGATGGATGTACGAGGGAAGGCCTGTATTAAGGCAGGAGAATGGTCGGTGGGCATTGGCTGTGAAGTGCTACTCAGGGGGGTTGGTGAGGAGGGGATGGCGAGGATTGGTGGGTGAGAGGAGTAGGAGGAGAGATGGTAAGAGTAGGGTGAGGGAGGCTCGAGTGGTGGTCATGCGCTTGAGAGCTGTACGGAGGCTGTCGGATTGGAGGAGCTCTACGGAGAGGAGGAAACAACAGTGGGAGGTAACACAGTTGGGTTTCCATCCATTGAGTTCACCTGTGATATGAAAAATGCGAAGTGGAAAACACAAAACAGTAAATAGCAGAGCAGGTGAGCAGTGAGTAACGCGTTAAACGCGTTATGTACGTGAAATGGGGTGGTTTAGTTTGCGGAGAATCCTCGGTTTTCATGTGGCCTACTACGCCACTTGACGTAAAACGGGTCGTGAAACTCCACTCCAGTGTACGCAGGCTTAGGCGCCGAGCCAAATACCAAGGCCCAGCATGTAACCGTATATAAGCTCTTTGAGATCATTCATTGAAGCTATGAGACTGTCCTGGGATTTTACTCATCTCCTCTGGGTTAGCTTTCGCTGACTACATCTTATAGAGGTTCGGCGTTGTTAGATATGGCAGTGCAAGGCCTTAGCGGTATCCAGTGTGAGAGATGGGAGTCTGCTTCGCTCCGCCTACCGATTTTGGGCGGTCGACTGTATGCGGTATGCTTCCCTGAAGCGTAGAGTGCGTGCCGTAGCAATGCGATATTACCTCTTATTGCAATGGAGGAGGTGGAGGGCTGGAGTATCGATGGCGATTGTACAGAGAAGGAGCGTGGAGGAGAAGGCGGCACTCCATCGTATGGTGGCGATGGCGAGGTTGGTGGGGAAGGGAGGGGGCCTCGAGGGGAACTCATTTTGAATTTTCAACATGGCTAGGAACACATTTTTTGAACAGTTCTCGATGTAAATGTCTCATCATATTAGGAACATTTTATTCATTGTTATCAAACCCTGAGAAACGATATCAAGGCTAGAGGGGTCCCGGGGAAGGGGGGCGGGGCATTCGGACGGTTTGAGCTGAGGAGTGTTTATGTGATTTTGGTTATTCTCTCGCACAAGGCCTACATAAAGGCAGCTTGGGAAAACATGCACATGGTCAACTACATGTGAGGGCGACAATATGAAAATTTTGAGGAAGTTTTTGGAAGTTTTCGTTGGTTTCTGGACATTTCTACCCGGGGTCGTTTATAAACTCCCACAGTTAGTGGGAAAGCTTCTGAACTCAGCTGAGGAAGCGAACATATATTCCAACATTGCGTGGCAGAGCGGCGTTGGAAGATGCAAAAATTGTGATTTTTCCGATGAGAATTGTTTACATCTTTGAAAATCGCCACTTACGGCGGTTCCCCGGACGGCGTGTTGCTTTTGGTTGGTTTTCTCCACTTCGTTATTTTTGGGCGAGCGAGATTGACATGGGTTCTTGACGGTGTTTTCAGGGTCTTCGACACTTTGAGGGTGGCAGTGGAGGAGAGTTTAATCAGCCGATATAATAATTCTAAGGCGCTCTTCTACTGGGCTGACGGTCTTTGTAGAAATGTGTGGGAGCAATGGGTGAGTAGCGCGCGCCCGCGTGATCGATTTACGAAGTAGTGCATAGATGTCGTATGTCGATCATCGTCGTTATACGGGTGTGCTGCGACATCGAGCCTGGGAATTACTCTGTTTCAATCTCCTGAGGAAGGCCTTGGAAGGCTTGCAGGCTCGAATGGAATACCGAAAAGTTCACCGAGGTGTGGTACGGCGCTTGGAGGCTATTATGGAGGTAGGCTTGGTAGGCGGTCATTTTCGGACATGTTTTGTATCTTCTTCGCTGCAACCTAAGATACTCCTTACAGGTTAATCTGAGAAGGAGGTACCTCTTCCAGTGGAAGAAACGTCTTACTTTTGAGCAAAATTTGCAGTCCTGTTTGGAGGTTGCCATCCAAGACGGACACCGACGACTTCAGCGCCGCTACCTCATAGATTGGCACGGGACTACGCGTCAACTCCTGGTGCTACGGCGGTTAGTGGAGAGTCTTCAGAGGTGCCTCTTGAGGTCGGGCATGGGGAGAATCGTTGTTGTGATGGAGGCAGTCAAGAGGCGACAGGTGAGTAGCTACAGTGGGCGCCGATTTGATATGCAAATGTGAAAAATCAGCGTTTTCTCCTGAGATTAGTGATGATCGCTCTGAAATTTATAAGTAGTGGTAGAATAACTTGTCGTAGCTCTAACAGAAACTGCTGTAGTATAATTGACTTTGAAGATTCACCATTACAATGTCACCATCACTACTTTGATTCATATCTTGCTGCCTGCCGTTGATGATAGTCGACTCGGGGACCCGTTGTGAAGGGGAAGAGCAGTGTTGGAGGAATATATGCTCGCTTTCTTGAGTTGAGCTCATTGAAAGGTCACATACGAATTCGTGTAGGAGTGCACAGAAACCAATAATACAAAATTTTCACTAACACATGTGGTTGACCATATGCATATTTTTCCAGAATGGGTATCAGTTCATGAAGAAAACGTGTTGGTTAAATTGATCTTTTCAGGAGAGCCTCGCGATACTTGTGGTGGCACGATGGAGGAAGTTCATTTGTCGTAAAAGGAAAATGATGGAAGATGCTCTCAGCGCCGGGCTGGAGACCAGTAGAATGGAAATTATGGTTCGAGCGGAGCGGGAAAAGGAGATATGGACACGGCTCGGAGAGATCAGGGCGGAGATAACGAAAATGAAAATTCAAAGTGTTGCTGGTGGTTGATCATCATCAGCTTTCTGCTTTTCTTGAGTTGTTGAGTTTGATAGTAGTATGGAAAGGGACATGGGCTTCTGGTGGTAACAGGAAGGGTAGTGGGAAGGAGTATGCTGTTGAAATGACTGTTTCTTTGGTTCGGGTGAACGTGTTTGTTTTTCATCAGCTGAGCTCAGTAGTTTTAACAAGTTTGGAGTAGAAAAATTTTCACATTGTGATCAACGAACGTAGTTGAGCATATGTATGTTTTTCAACGCTGGTGCTGCAATAAACAGTTTTTCACGTTGTTGCCCCCATGTCTTTCGGACGAGATGAGAGTATCGAGACGATAGAGAGGCAAGGACAAGAGATCATGCGGTTGAGGAAGTATTGCCTCCCGATGGGAACTATCGTGGATGTATTGTGTATTTCAGGGAAGTGGCGACCCTACGCTATCGAGAAGCTCGTCGGCGTCCGGTAGGGGATGTGGCACTGGCTGGAGACGAGGATGATGAACATTCCATTGGCCGTCACAGAGTGAGCAGTCTCCCCTTATTGGGTCCGTTGTGGTATTACTGAATTTTGATGTGATAATATTTGTTAACTATATCGTGTCTATCGATACTACTAGGAGGTATTCGTCGTACTATTTCACGGTAGAAGTATGACTATGATCTATGTTATTATTTTCTATGACAATGTCATTCAGCGACTCTCTTGTGGTTGGAATTAGTAGTGGTAGTAGTTGTGATTTCATTGAAATCAGTAATAGTAGTAGTTGTAATTTCATTGAAATCAGTAATAGTAGTAGTTGTGATTTCATCGAAATCAGTAATAGTAGTAGTAGTTGTGATTTCATAGAAATCAGTAATAGTAGTAGTTGGAATTTCACTGCTTAGATTTAGTGGGTGAGTGAATATTATCGTCAGGTGATGGACGGTAGTTACCACAGTTATCGTGACAGGATATTATGGCTATTGGGACTACTATTATTACAGTCATTATCATCATTCGTATTATCCTCCTATAGTACTCTTCTCACGACTCATCCCGTCATCATCTACTTCCTCACTATGCTGGTTGGTGCTGGTGGCAATGCTGGCAGCCAAAGTGCAGTGTTGGTGGTAATTCATCAGTTAACGTGCTGCCTCCACAGAGGAAGAGATGCTCCCCTTGTCGTCAGGTACGTCGGTTAGCTCTCGGACAACAGGACAGCTTATCGATAGGGAGATCAGTGACTCGAGAGATCGGCATGGCGATGGGCATGGCCGTCGTATTGGGTGTTGTCAGTGCCGTGAGAACGCTTATTGTACCTATCAACGATGGTGAACAAGTCACAGTTGTGAGTTCGAGGAAAGATGGTATACAATTATTATCGCACAGTATTGGTTTCAGATTGAATCAATTGCCATCTCTATTTCTATGATGACGATTGTGCTCTCGTCGATCCTTCTCGGTACCCTCCTCCCACTGTTGTTGCATCGTCTTGGCTCGGACCCAGCTCACGCTGGTGCTGCTATACAAGTGAGTGATTTTGAAAATTTGCGGATGTTATGGTAGTGTTGTTTTGTAGGTTTTGATGGACATTTTGGGAGTCCTGTTGACTTGTTCGATATGCGATTTCCTACTCCTCAAGGGACGAGTTTTTTGATTGATAATATCTGATAGGCGACAATGCAGCATATCTCTCCGCTGTTGATAACAGAGTTTACTTCCTCAACACGTAACGGTTGTGCTTAGTAGCGCCGCGGTGGGGACGTTGTCAGTTAAGCCTGAGGCCTGGGTGATCGTTGTCTTGTACAGGATGTAATCATTCAGTTCTTGTAGTAGGCAATGTTATTTATCGAACCGACAATATGATTCACGCACTGCGTGCATTCATTATACATACATTTTAGCGTATGTGGACAGGTGACACCTGGCTGTCGTGTGAGGCTCAAGGCGAGTGTGTCGGTTCTTCATCATCATCATCGCCATCCTTTTCGCGGCTGTGGTATTCGTCAACCCAACGACTGGTATAAGTTAGATGCAATCCTGAGAGCACAGCCGGGAATTCTGGGGAAGTGTTTTAAACATCTCCGTTGACTCTTCGGGGGACTTCATAGGAAAATTCCGTTCGGTTGCGAAATATCCGTTACGAATTTCATACACTGACTCGTTCAACAAATCCGTGTATAAAATTCGTAAGAAATTTTGTTGAGTTCATATAATAGCATTGCTCTTTACTATGGGTAGCTGTAGGTTTACAAAGCGATTGAGAGCTCAGGTGTATTTCATCTCCGACGTTTGAGGTTAGATGATTTAACGAGTATGATGGTAGATAGAATCTCTAGATTTCATCAACCATTGTTCCCTAATGATTGAAAGTAAGCAGAGTTTAGCGGCTCTTCCTGAGCTTCTTCGTCATGACCCAAGAAGTAGTGGATCTCAGCAGTGATGATGATGGACGCGTTGCTGTTGCCGCCTTGGAAGAGGAGTTGGACTCAGTCGAGAGGCAAATTGAGGAGTTGCGTGTCACCAGAGATGTAAGCTACAGACGCCGAAACATAGTTTTTCTGCCTAGCCGTATTGATGGTATATCGTAGATATATTGGTCTTCAGATTCTCCGAAGTAAGCTGGCAAGACTACGGTCCAAGTTGGGCAGTTCGCCGTCTCCAACGTCCTCATCGGTATGGGCTGACACTGGTTTCTCATGGGATTCCAGTTTACGTGATGCGGCCTGGCGGTAGGCTAGTGGACTTTGGTTACTACAATGATGAAAACTATCGCTCTACTGTGGTGCACGTCAGTGTGGGAAAATATGCACATATTTCGCAATTGTCAAATTTTATCTGATTTGTCGTTTTTATTGCATATTGGATTTTCATATGTAGTTGAGCATGTGCATATTTTCCCTCACTGGTGCACATATTCTAACCCTCGAGCCATCAGTGTTGTAATATATGTAATCGCTTTCCTCAGCTGACTCTAGAAGTTTCCTCACTAATTATAGGAGTTCATATACAAAGTAGGGTAGAAATGTCCATGAACCAACAAGAATTTTGCAAAATTTCCTCAGAATTTCCATATTGTCACCAACATATGTGGTCGACCATGCGCAGAACGAGGGCCGATCGCACAGTACTCTGTTTCGGCAATCATTTGCAGTGTTGGAGGAGTGTATGCGCGGTTTCCCTCAGCTAAGCTCGGAAGTTTTCTCGTTAATTATAGAATTTCCCCCACTACGTTGTCAAAACTTACGGAAGACTCTGGGTAGGAGTGTATAAAAAATCCAAGATGAATTTTCCATGATTTCCTCATTCTTGGTGTAGTTGACCATGTGCATATTATTTCAAACTCGTCATTTGAATATCGCTATCTCCCTTCAACAAGTGTGCCGAACAGGTACTTTGGTGTGAAGCAATTCCGTGACCACCAACTGAGTATTCTCAACGCCATACTAAGCGGGTCGGACGCCGTATTGGTATCCCCTACAGGCAGCGGGAAGAGTCTAGTGTATCAGCTACCAGCAGTTCTTATGGGTGGTGAGCACTGTGCTATTCAGTGGTAGGGCGCAGACTTACTACCCTCAGCTACCCAAGCTAAAGAGAAGCGACTTACTGTAGTGGTCTCCCCTCTGATCTCGCTCATGCATGACCAGGTGAGTTGCCGAGATTACTATATAGGCGGTCCGGACTGGTATCAGGTTTCATCGTTGTTGGCTGTCGGTGTCGCTGCGCGATTGCTGAGCGCGCAGGAGCCGAGACAAAGGCAAACAGCAATACGGAAAGAATTAAAGGAAAAACACGTTGATGTACCGCAAAGTTTGTCGGAAATAGTTGTGAAGCATCTTTCCATCGATCCCTCCCACGTGGCATTCGTCCGCGCCTTGTATGTGATTCACCTCAGATAGTTTTCGTAACGCCGGAGAGAATCGCGAAAAGTGCCCAGTTCATGAACCTTCTTGGTCGCCTCCACGAAGCGAAGAGTATTGGCTTGATCGCTGTAGATGAGAGTCACTGTATTTCACAGTGGGGTCACGATTTTCGCCAGGACTATCTGAAGTTAGGGATGCTGCGGTAGTGGCAGCAGCATACGTGATGATGATGCTTAGTAAATGTTCAGAAAACACTTCCCTGGAGTACCAATAGTCGCTACAACAGCCACGGCAACTCCGCAAGTTGTTGAGGATATATGCGGTAGACTAGATCTGGATCGGTCGCGCACTAACGTTAAGCGAGCTCCTTGCGATCGACCCAACATTTTCTATGGCGTCCTTTATAAACCCAGAGATAAAGCGAAAGCGGTGGAGCAACTGTTGGCGACTGTGACGAAGTAGCCAGCAGTGTTTAGGACTTCAATTTCCACTTGCTGTCAGGTTGTGTGCTTCTTGTTCGCCTGCTGATTCGAATGGTATTGTATATTGTCTGAGTAGAAAAGAAACTGAGGATGTGTGTGCGAGTCTGAACCACGCCGGTATCCCTGCTGTGTGGTATCATGGCGAGCTCGGGACCGACAGTCGGGCGGCGGTTCACAAGTCGTGGATGTCCGGTAAGCCCATGATCACTCGACATGGCCAGTGGCGTGAATTAGCCCAAGTCAGGTGAGAGCAAAGTAATCGTCGCTACGGTCGCCTTTGGTATGGGTGTACATCACGACAGTGTCCGCTGGGTTATACATTTCTCGGTGCCTCCTAGTATACAACATTATCAGCAGGAATCCGGTATGAGCCTATCCAACGTCTCGGAGGATGTACCTACTCCTTGTGCCAGGCCGTTGTGGTCGCGATGGTAGACCAGCGATCTCAATACTGATGGCCTCGCCATTCGACATATGTCGTCAGAGTGTGATGGTTTATTGGAAGCCTAATGCCCTTCAGGAGCTCTATGTAATGGCCGAGTACGCCTTCTCGACGACTCGGTGTAGAAGAGGGTATCTTGCGGCTCATATGGGGGATGCTGAATGCCCATCTTGTGATGGTTATTGTGATGTCTGCAACAACGAGAGCTCCGCTCCGCCTAGAAAAAGTCTCAAGCAATGTCCGAGCGAAGACAAGATCGTTAGAGAGGTTTTTTATCAGCTCGATGAGGCAGCTGCGAGAGGGGAAAAGTTGACGTTGTTGAAACTGAGCGAAAAATGCCGGAAAAATCTCCACTGCGAAATCGAAGAAGTGGCAGTTGCTATCATTAGCCTTCTCAAGTCGAGTCACTTAAGGGAGACTTTCGATGCTACTGCATACTCTGTCAATTCCTATATCGAAAAGCGAAGAACGTCCTCACCGCGGTCCATTTGGGAGTTCACTCATCGAGAAATCGAGAGTAGCATGTCCCGAGTTTTCGATAGTCCGACGCCACAAGTGGAACTAAATGTGAACGAAGAAAAGTTGCGGATTGTTGAGAGGAAGCTGAACCATGGACGGCTTGAGATCGCTGCGACTGTTGATAAAGATATGCCTCCGCAGAAGATTCTTTCTGACCAGGAAATTCAGGAGCTGCGGAAATACGATGGAGTAGGGGATCCCTTGGAAGCAGTTCGGAGAGCAATTCGTGTCCCGAGGCGGTTCGATCTCTACGGCAAAAGAGTCGCTTCTTATTTGGTGTGTGAGTAGAGGAAAATGCGTTTCCTTGTCTGTTCCTGGAACTGTTTTGTTATGTGCTTGTGGGATGGTCGTAACTATGGTTTATTACTCGACAAAAGTGACTGTACGACCGAGGCTTCTCTCGAACGAGAGGAGCTAGTGACGTTAGCTCACCAATTCGTCTCGCTCGAGTTCATATCACGATTGTCGGAGGAGGAAGTCGAGTTACTTTATGCTGAGGTGGATGGTTACTCATCACGGAGTTGACGGTAGAAGGAGACCCCGTCACCACAAGGCACTGAGAACTGTCTACCTCCTAGCGAGGAGAATTATAATACGTCCCTGACGTTATGTCCCTGATACCCCTTGAGAATCGTTCGGGTGCATATTGCGCTCAATGATGCTTCTATTATACGAGTGTCAGTGATGGCGCAATTTGTAGATGAATGACATTGTTTGATAGGTTATCATTTGAATGCATTATGATGATCTGTGCTATCATCATTTCCATCATCATGGAGGCGTCCGCCCACAGCTGGGTATTTAATTTGATAGGAGACATCAGAAGCGGTCATCCTAGGATGGGCCCAAACGTGCACGGCAATCCCGACCATTATTATGCGGTGAGTAAATCAGAATCTTAAATCGTTATCTACGTGAAGCCTCTCTGTTGTGTAGCGCCCGATGTGCCCGAAGTCATCCCTAAGTCAGTGCCAGAATCTGCCCCCGCCATATAAGGCTTTTGACGAAAGCTCTCTACGACCATGTAGACGGGCTGGCTCGCTTGGTGCTTCCAATACAAACGACCGTGCAGAAGTTACTCGAGGTGAGACCTCCGTATGATCGAGTATTGGAGCTGGTTCACATTCAGGGCAAAAACTACATATCTCCTGGATGGGCAACGGGCACACTAACTCCGTCTCTGACGGTAGGCCGTGGTTTCTCATAGTCGCCATCATCTCTAGGTGTCAGGGACATGCATCGTGTTCAAGATGGCTCCATACAGTTCTGATCCTTCATGGGAAGACTTCACCCCGCTAGAGGACTGCCTACCATTTTATAACAAACATGTTACTAAGGACACCACTTCTGCTGATATTATTATACCTAGTAACGTTGAGCCTGGGCCCTACACCATCCTTTACATGTGGTCCAAGTTCGCAGGCGTTTATTATGCCACTTGTTCAGACATTATCGTACACTAGTCATTACTACATGATACCACCACCATTGCGCTTCCCTTACAGCTTTCCCTGTTGTCCAGATGGTCAGTACTTTTCGTCCTATTTTCTTTCCGAAAATAGGACTTCCTTTTACGTGGTATTGGCTACGTCCACGAGTACGATGGTGATTATCTGTAGATTATTGACATAGTGTTATGGATGCAGTAGATTCTTTCCCCTTTGCTTGATAGCAATATAGCTATCGTTTATCGAATTTAATATTTTGGAGGATGTTGAGTCTTTATCAACTTTCGGCGGGGTTCTGAAACGCTATCTTCTCTCAATTCCTCAGTACTAGAGGATGATGATGATGATGATGATGATGATGATGAATGTCATTGGGTAACATCAGGCCTAGTCAGAAGGACGATCGAATGAGGGATGGTTTCTGGCAAGTTTGGTCATCCATTCGCTCTGGAGGCCAGATGTTAGTCAACGGTCGAAAAACCTGAATGCTAACAAAGTTTTGAGACTGCAATTCACCATTTTCATGTTTCGTTTCTAGTGAGGGCTAATACGAAGTTGACGGGGAATGCCTGGTCCATCATCCCTAGCGGCCTTCTTAGTTCCAGGCCAGTTGGGGGTAACCTCCGAATAACAAGACTGTGCTATGCATGCGAGAACTATATGGCAGTCGCACGCAAATGGTGTGCTTTAGTTTATCAATATTTCCGCATCATCTGACGGAAAATGGAATTCGGAGCAATCGCTGCCATAATTTGGACTTGTGCCCTTTGCGGTCTGCTCCTCATATCTGCGATATTTTTGATCTATCGCTCTGTTCAAGCCCCTCGATACATCAAGTCTAAATCGTCCGCTTGCCGTCGTCTATCATTTGAGAGCCCCGACGAAGTTGAGAGGTTCTTCATCCAGACTGGCTACAAGAAAACCATGATGGGAACCGTCATTCTCTATGCTTGGCTTCTTCTCCTTATCCTAGCATACCTTTGCATCATCATCTTCGTCTCATTTTCGTATTTTCCTGAACTCCTCTCAGACTGGCAAACTGACTGGAACGGAGTTGTTATACCAGCAATATACTCAATGGTCGTTTTTCACGTACTGGCTGCCGTGCTATCTAAATTCTATCACTCTCTCGTTACGCTGTTCATGTTGCCCGAGCCACATCTTAGTGAGGCTACGAATGTGGTTATTGAGGAGGCGGTACCTCTCGCGGAGGACTCTAAGGATATGATAGATCCAGGAATGGCTTCTGATGAGGACGTGCCGGTCTTCAGTCGTCACATATCGGCCCTTTGGGACAGACTACGTGCACGCTTCAGGAGCGCCACCCGCAAGACGATCGTTGAAGTTGAATACGATAAACTGCTCGGCGTTAAGTGTTACGAGTATATGTGCGTTAGATATGTATTTGATACTGACGTTGGTCGGTTCCGTCCTGTTGGCATGGGAGAATGGACAGCTTCTGAGATGCATCACCGGCTGAGGACTGGTGGTTTAAGTCACGAGGAGGCCACACTTGAGTTGGAGGAAACGGGTCCGAACGAGATCAGAGTGCGAGTCCCCGGGATCATTGAGAGCCTGGCTTCGGAGTTCAGCGATGTTCTCTACATACTGCAGTCTATTGCGGCCTGGACATACATCGTGTATACGACGTGGAACATTGGAATAATATGGCTCGGCATGACTCTGATTGCGGGGATCTATCGGGCCTTGTTCATCGTAAGGAGGGGTCAGAAGAAGATCGCTACCTTGGCGAAGTTAGAGACACGGGTGCAAGCTCTGAGATCAGGCAAGTGGATTGAAATTGGCTCCCATGGTGTGGTCCTCGGCGACTTACTCAAAGTGGAGGAACGTGAACCTCTCCCTTGTGACGGAGTGGTCGTGGAGGGTTCTATAATCGTCAATGAGTCCATGCTCACTGGTGAGCCCATGCCCATACAGAAATTCTCTGTGGATGACATTGAAGATGTTGAAATCACCAAGAAGAACAAGGCCTATGCAGGTGAGATCTCAGAGGCTCTCTCCATGTGATGCTTCTGGAATTTCTCATAGGCACTATGTGTATGCAGTCAACTGGCCCGCACGATGGTCGTGCCATTTTGCTGGCAACCGGTGTCGGAGCTCTCACGACGAAGGGACAACTCATTCGTATGGTACTTTCCCCACAATCTGTCAGGTAGACTCTACCGAGCTGACTTTCCTGTGTCAAACGCTTGTGCTATATATAGGACTATCCACGATAGGACATAGTCAACTGCTTTGAGCGTATCTCAGTGTCTTCGGGCACATACATTGTGTAATGCCGAGTGTGCATTGTCATGGAACTAATGATAGCTTGAATGGTTTTGTTCATTCATATTGGTATTCTTTTCTAGGTTCAAGTACACTGATCAGCTTCCAATTATCTACAGTATGCTAGCTCTGTATGCTGTACTCATCATCATTCTGTTCATGACCACGACAAGTCTGGGTTCCTGGGTGGTCACCGTATTGGAAATTCTGAGTGCTATTGCTCAGACGATGAACCCCATGTTGCCCGTCTCTATCGTCATGGGCCAGTCAGTGGCGGCCTTCAGACTCGAGCAGCATCATCAGATATCATGTCTCCAACCGGGGAGGATTCCTGTTGCTGGCAAGATCTCAACGATGGTGTTCGACAAGACCGGCACCATCACGAAGGACGGTATGGACTTCGCGGCGGTGGTGGCCGTGGACCCTTCGAGTAGAACCTTCCTCAGCAAGGTGCAGTTTGAGCCGGATTTGCCTCCTCTCGATGAGAGAAACAAACGTGTGATTTCTGAGCGCGTCCCTCTGAAGATGCAATACGGCCTCGCTTGCTGCCACACTGTGACTACTCTCCGTGATGGAACATTTGTTGGTAACCACGTTGAAGTGTCGATGCTCACTATGACTGGATGGTCTCTCCCGAAGCCGGAGAGCTCAGATGATATCATAACTTCACCGAATGGGGAGCATAAACTCAAGGTCTTGAAGAAACTTGAGTTCGACCACAACAGAATGACATCCGGGATTGTCGTCAGAGATCTGTCAACGGATGAGGTTATTGTCGTCATAAAGGGCTCGTATGAACGTGTGGCCGCCTTGTCGTTGCCCGACACACTCCCCAAAGACTATGTTGAAGTCTCTGAGGGATGTGCTTCTGATAATTTCTACACCTTGGCAATGGCGACTAAGACTTTGGACGGCTCTTTCACGGACGAGCAAATCACAGCGGCCAAGAGGGACTCTTTTGAATTCGACCTTTCCATGTGCGGACTGCTTCTCTTCCGCAATGAGATGAAGCCCGACTCCCCAGCTGCCATTGAGGCCTTGACCGCCGGCAACATTCGCAACGTTATGTGCACTGGCGATAATGTCTTCACTGGTATCGCTATTGCCAAGGAATGTGGTATAATTGGGAAAGGCAAAAATGGACGACTTTTAATAGGAGACTATGATGAGGAGATGGATGAGCTCCTTTGGGTTGACACTGAGACGAACGAGCCCTGCTGTGATGTGGAGGCCGGGGTAGACCAACTGGCAGTAACAGGATCTGCGTGGAAGTATTTGGCTAGGAACTCTGATGAGCTCGATAAGCTTTGGAAAGATATTTTGGTGTTCGCCCGTATGAAGCCTGAGGACAAGGTGAACGTGACGAAGTATCTTCAATCTCGTAAGCTGGTTGTTGGTATGTGCGGTGATGGTGGTAATGACTGTGGTGCTCTCCGTGCTGCTCATGCTGGCATGGCTTTATCTGAGGCGGAGGCATCTATGGTATCACCATTCAGTTCAGGTCGTGATGGTCGCTCCCTTTTCACAGTTGTTGATATGATTCGTGAAGGTCGTGCGTGTCTTGCCACCAACATCGCGACTTACTCTTTCTTCATCGTATATGCGTTCATTCTCACTACTTCTCGAATTGTCGGTACTATCATAGGGAATCAAGTGCCAGGGGAATGGTTCTGGATATCGCAAGATGTCCTTATCAGCGTCATCATGGTGTGGACGATGACTCTCTCGGGTCCGGCGGCAAAACTCGGCGACTATCGCCCTAGTGGGTCTCTCCTTGGTTGGAGAACCATCCTGATGTGTACTGTCCCTATCATCACTTTTTTCCTCACCCAAATTGTGGCATTTGCTCTCCTGTGGTCACCTTCTAACAGTGAGTGGTATAGCCGTGTCAACACTCTGGACCTCCAAGTGCCGCCACAAGAGTGGGCGAAAAAAGGTGACAATTATGATATGCCCGTCCAAGTTATCCTCTTGCTTACGACACTCAGCACACATGCCTACGTTTCCTCATATGGAGGAGCTTTCAGAAGGAGTGTACTCAGGAACTGGGCTCTGAATGTGATGTACATAATCGTCAACGTCTTGCTCTTCAGTCTACTTTGGGTTCAGCCAGGAGATCTCTCCTGTGTGTTCCGCATCAACTGCGACACAGGTGCCTCTCTTGAAACAGCTGGTCTGCCTATCATCGAACAATACTCAGTGGGATCGGTTGGTGGTTGTTTCCTGGGCCCCCAGATCCATAAATATCAACAAGCAGTTCCTGAGCTTAGCAGTTGGTCTCCGCTACCCCAGGATGACTGCCGTCCTACCGGTCCGGGTTCCGATGTCGCTTTGCAGCGCTATCCTTGGGATTCTCCAGCGATCTCCACGCTGGGATATTCTGGGCCCAACAATGTCTATCCAGTGTCATTCCGGGTTGTTATGACGGTAATCCTAGTTTTTTACATCATGATTCAACACGTGATGTTTGGTTTCGGGTTCTCTGGCTCGTATTGGAGGAAGTTGTTGACTAGATTCGGAGCTGTGTAGGGACTTGATGCTGTTCGAGAGCTTGAACTGTTATCATTTTCGTCCGTAACTGTTATAGTCTCATCCATGCCACTTGAACAATTACTGTATTTCTTTTGAGTATTCTCACGTTTCAATTATCGACATATTTTATAACCTTCGTATGGAATGCGAGCGTGAGTAGTCTGCTCTTGGTGTTGTTATCAGAGCCCTAAAGCCCATTCAGTAGTACTCGTTTCTATGAGCATATAAAATGTGTTGG